TTAGTTACCTCGTCCTTTATGAATGTGTGCTTTACCTCGGACTGGGGTCTTCTCTTTTGCTTTACCGGTATAAACCTAGGGTCCATGCTTAGCCGATGCGTCGTTATATCCGGTGGGATCCCTGTTATATCTAAATGGGACCAAGCAAAATAGTCTATGTTATCGATAAGAAATTGAATAAGCCTTTTCCTGAGTTCGAGGGTTAATCTCGTTCCCAAGTATACCTTTCATTCGGGAAAATGCTCGATTAGTACGACTTGCTCCAATTCTTCAATCGTTAATTGGGTAGCGTCGAAATCATCGGGAACCACGAAAGATCTAGGGATCCTTTGATCATCATCTACCTCGACCTTCTGATTTTCTGCTTGGGTTGAAGCCGACGTCTGTGATTGCTATTTGGCATCTCGTTCCCCTTTTGAGTCTGATCCCTTTGTTGACGAAGGTGAGGATATTGGAATTGCTTCTTCGACTACAAACATTTCCCTCGCGGTCGGTTGTTCTCCGTACACTATTTTGACTCCCTTTCGGTGTTGGGAATTTAAGAACCTAGTGTAGGGTCGAAGGTATAACTCTCATGTTGTGGATCCATGGCCTTCCAAAAAGGGTGTTGTACCTCATGTCGCCTTCGATTACGAGGAACTTCATTTCCTGGATGGTCCCGACCACGTTTATCGACAGAATTATCTCGCTTTTGGTGGTCTCACATGCCATATTGAACTCGTTTAGAACCATGGTTGCGGGTATGACCTGGTTCTATTGACCGAGTTGTTCTACCACCTTCGATCTAATAATGTGGGCCGAGCTATCTGGATCAATTAACACACGCTTAACTTTAGTTTTATTCATAAGTATAGGTATTACTAGTGCATCATTATGAGATTGCATGACTCCTTCTGCATCTTCATCGTTAAAGGACAAAGTTTCTATGGGTGCGTATTCCTGAGTTCGAGGTCGCTTTTCTCTTACAATCGATGTCTTAGTGCGTTTAAGCAATGGCCCTTGAGGGGTATCGACGCCGCCGATGATCATGTGGATTACGTGTTATGGTTCTTCTTGTTCGTGTTTTTTGCCGAAATCCCTATTTTTGAAATGGTTCTTGACCATGTCGCTTAAACATTCTCGAAGGTGCCCTTTATTAAATAACCGGGCTACCTCCTCTCTTAGTTGCCTGCAATCTTCCGTTCTGTGGCCATGGGTGCTATGGTATTCGTACATTTGATTGGGATTCCTCTGGGCATGATCGGTTTGCATGGGTCGAGGTCATTTACTGTCTTTGATGCATCCGATAGCCGACACGAGGGCGGATGCATCGATGTTGAAGTTATACTCCGATAATCGTAGTGCTACTTTAGATCGGGTAGGCCTGTCGAACCCATTCCTGTTCATCATCCCCCAAGATCCTTGACCTCGATCACTTCTTTTGTTGCTTTGTCCGGGGTTACGTCTCGATTCATTGATTCTGTGGTTCCCATTATATAGTCGGTATCGGTCCCTGATCGGACCTTGTTCTCGATTGATATCCCTTCGAGTAGCGGGTTCCGACCCCAACTGATCGTCTTCGACTCTAATTTTTGATTGGTACCGATTATGCATGTCGTCCCAAGTAATAGCTAGGTACTCGATCAGGTTATGCTTCAACCGTCGTGAAGCCGGCGAACTTCGTTCGTTCAGACATTCAGTGAAAGCCTGAACAACCCAATCGTCTATGACCGGTGGCAGATCCATTCGTTCCATTTGAAAATGAGATATGAACTCCCTTAGCATCTCGTTATCCTTTTGTCTTACCTTAAATATGTCCGACTTCCTTGTCTCAATTTCTATGGCCCCGGCGTGAGCTTTTACGAAGGAATCTGCAAGCATAGCAAAGGAATCGATAGAATTAGATGGTAAATTATGATACCATATCATTGCTCCCTTTGACAGGGTTTCACCGAATTCTTCAGTAATACGGATTCGATCTCATCATCCTCAAGGTTGTTCCTTTTGATGGCACATGTGTATGAGGTGACATGTTTGTTTGGGTCGGTAGTTCCATTATATTTAGGAATCTCGGGCATGCGGAATTTCTTTGGGATCGGTTTAGGAGCCGCGCTTGGGGGGAAAGGCTTATGTATGAATTTTTTAGAATCTAAGCCCTTCAATATCGGTGGTTCCCCCGGGATCTGATCAATCCTGGAGTTATATGTTTTTACCTTTTTGTCGTTTGCTTCGATCCTTCTTTCTCCCGATTCTATTCGTTTGGTTAGTTCTTCGAACATCTTAGCAATTTCGGTATTAGTCCCCGACTCTTGCTCATTTGATCTTATTATAGCTGGTTCCGCTGCATGGGCATTTTCTCGAGGTTAGCTGGGTTCTGGCCTGCTTGGTATATGGGTTTGACTCTGTAATTGAGCTATTGTTGCCTGTTGAGTTTGCAACATTTCGAAAATCATAACTAAGATGACACTGTTTTCCTCGACGTTATGGGTGTCTCGAGCTGCAGATCGAGTGCCCCCATGAATACTATTTTCAGGTTCAGAATGTAGGTTCGCCTCGATGGCCACATGCGAATTAATGTCTATTGGCACTTCGATTTGAGCTCTGACGGCGTGGACACGCGGTCTTTCGATACTGGGTATCAAGTTGTTGTTCTCATTTTGAAAACCAGCTTCATTGTCGATAGGTAAGGCCACTTAATCGATAGTTAGTCGCTGCTAATCCGAAATCAAAGACACTTCCGGAAACAAGCGCAAAATGGTGTGTTTTTGTAGATTCGTATCAAACAACCACTGTTATCCTTAGCCCCACGGTGGGCGCCAAACTGTTTACCCGAAAAACGGATAGAGTTGAATTTGTACATAGTTCTAAGGATATGTGGTATAATTTAATACAAATCATAAGGACAAATAGAAATATCAAATACGGATTGCAAAGAATGCAAAATAAACAAGACTGGAAAGAAGATGATTTTGAGGACTAAGCAAGATGAATCAATTTATGAAGCTTAAAAGGAATAACTCTTCAATATAGGAGTGTATGGTGTTTTAGTTACAATGTGAGCAAAACCTGTCCTTTACAGACATGTAGTCATCCTCTTTATAGTGGAGGATCCTAGTTTAGATATAATTAAAAATACATACTGGGGAGCCCATGATAAATCAGTTTTTTCCTAATTCCCGCCGAGATTCTCTCCCTTAGTGCGGTTATAACGGCTCTTGTCTGTGAGCTCGAGCTTGATCGGACTCAGTGTTGGTCGGTGTTGTTTTTAGAGCTCGATGCGGACTTGAGCTCGATGCTAACTCGGGGTCTGGTAATGACTCGGGCTCAGTATCGGTTGGCCTTTGCCCCTTAAGCTCGATCTCATAACATCTCATCATAGTTCGATTCGGACCCGAGCTCGATAATGACTTCGAACTCGGTGTTTGATCTGTCCCCAAAAATCGAAGCTCGTTCGTACCTTCTTCGGATCCCATCTTTGATATTATGAAGATTTTTTTCGATCCATTATGTTTCGATCTCGATCAGACGTATGAAAGCCGAAATCAGTTTATACCGTATACATATATTGAAGTTTTAAATTTTGGGTTGAACAGTTGGAGTATTAAGCTTGGAAAACAAGTTTCGAATCTTCACAGAAGTAATAGTACTAGTTAAATTTTTTCTCATCTGCTTGAAGCTCGATCACCACAGAATCTGGGGGTAAAAAATTCAAAAGTTGATTCAGTTGCACATGCATATGTTGCCCCACGAGTATGAGTTGTCAATTTAATACAGGATAGTAGTAGGAAAAAAACAAGCTTGAGTTGAAAATTAAGATATGATACAAGTAGGAAAGAATAATGGAAAACATTTGTACTTTTGGCGAGAGAATGATTGCATACTAACACTAGTTATTTAATTTCTTCATTGGCTAAATAGAGATGTTCACTTTTTAAAATGTAAGTCTTTCAATAAATATAAACGACAAAATACAACAGAGTTTTATCTGCAAAACTGTGGAAAATTTTGCAAAGAAGCCATGAATCCTGATCTAGGAGTTATATGCAGTGTACACCAGCACTTATTTGTCCGTTGGCGGAGAAGAGCTTTGGAACTCCAGAACATACATGTCTGTAGTAATTAATTGCTTTTGTTACTTCTTGGAATTTCATGTGGAATAAGAGCCAAAGTTCTTGGAATTGCATGTGGAATTGAGCAAAAGCTATAATTTTAAATGCACCTTCATGTTGTCTCCAGACAAAGCGTCAAAGCCTTTGCTTTTTTTCTTCGGAAAGGGCATAAATATCCCTCTAAACTTGTCTTGAATTTGCAGTTACATAGTATACTTATTTTGCCGGAGTTCTATTGAACAAAAGCTAGAATTTTATATGTCCCTTCATGTTGGTTCTAAGACAAAGGCTTTTTATTTTTATTTTATTGTATGGCCGTTCTTAAAAAAATAGTCGAAAACGTATATTTATATATATATATATATATATATATATATATATATATTATGTATGTGATATATAAAAATTATACTATAAATTTTATACATATTTTTTATTACCGAATGTAAATAATTTCTGACGAGTAAAAGTGACAAGCCTTTCTTTTTTTTTTCTATTGGGAAAATGCATAAGAGCCCTTTATACTTATCTTGGATTTACAGTTACATACTTGTATCTTGGGGGTAACAGAACTCTTGCAAAGAACGTACAAGTGGGTTATTGCAAATCCGAGAAAATTTTAGGGGTTTGTTTATTATTCTTAAAAGTGTGGGGAGACCTTTTATGATTTTTTTTAATTTTTAATGATAATGATGGTGTATAGAGTATAGACCAAATTGCTGGGGTAAAAAATTTGGGGAGAAAACTTATTCACAACTCACAAGTAATGGAACAGTTCTATATGCTAAAAATAGTCTAAATATCCCCACTTTAATAATTCTTTCTGGCTTTCCTTTTGTTCTTTTTAAAGCTTTATGCATGGAGAATCATAATTCCCGTTCCCAACAAAATAAAAAAAATAAAAAAATAGTCTTTAAGCAACGAAAACTGGAAAGTTAACCATTCCTCTATATAATAATTACACACACACATGTACATTTTGAATTGGATAATAGTTAGAAATTAGAGATCTTCATTGCATTTTCTTAAACTCTCAATAAATCGAAGACCTTGCAGGACTTCTTTTGACATTGAGATCAAAATCTCTTTGGAGAACATAAGCACGCCTACAAATAGAAAATCAACCAAAAATTAATAGAAAATTATCAACAACATACCATTAAAGCAGAGAAGGGAGAAAGAATGAAGATTCATACATTGAAGCAACGCCTTCTTCTTTGATGTCTTTTCAAGACTTTATTTAACTTAGCAGCCATTTCTCTGTGTGATAGAATTTGGGCAGCTGGTGAGCTCAATAACACATGACTTCTTTGAATTGGAGGAGACCACAAACCGCTCTTTGAATAATCAAAATCAAACTCTGATAAATCAGAAAACTTTGAGAGCAGCCTTTCTGATACTGACTTAGAAACCAACTGAGTTTTCAGTGGAGAGGAAATTATTGCAGTTTCATCTTGCCATGAACATGGAGAAGAGGAAGATAATGAGATTTCAGACATGGTGTGCATTTCTTTTAATTCAAAGTGAGGGGTACATATATAAAAAGGAGACAAGATTTTAGAGAAGAATATAAAAAGGAATGATGCATGATAAAGACGTGTATGGACGTATGCAATAATGGAGAGTGGAAAAGGAGAAAGTGGACGTGGGTTGTATCATTATAAATATTGAGGCTCATATTTGGTGTTACAATATCAATATGTTATATGGGGTTGGACTTGGTGTTTAGTGGCTGGATGGTCGCAACGACGGAGTTAGAATTTTTACCTAGCGAGAAAGAAAAATTAACACTAAAAGATGAAACTAAAGAAATTTACCATATTGTTATCTGTATATTAAGAAAAATTAACCTTACAAACACAATATAATTTTCTGGCAAAGGATTGGCCTAAGTGATCTTTTGGACATAAATTAGTTGACAATCAGATTGATAATAAATAGGGAACATGAGGAATTGGAACCAATATTTTGGCATCCACATAAAATTAGTGTCCATAACTCACATATGATATAACGAGTACAATCGTTAACAGTCATTAGTCTATTTCTTTTGGTTAAGCTATAGATAAGTCATTATCAACACATGTATATGTGTACATATCAAGTTATGACAAATTAATTCCTATGTTCAAGGAATTTCTCAACTTTCGTGGTCATGAATGATCTTTCACCCATTTATAATAACATACCTACAATTCGTGCCAAGAAACATTTGGTCTTTTTCCTCTTTGCTATAACTATCATAGTTTTCTATGCATATCAATAAAGCAACTCACATGGGAGTTAACAATATACTAAAGGGATTGTACATATATACAGACAACACATAATTATTTCATTCTGGCAGATCCAAGACTTGCAATTTTTCTAGTCTATCTTAAAAGCTGGCTCCTAATTGCCACCCTATTTCCTCGCGCAATTATATTGGAGTTTCATATTGTTTGCTTTGGTCGTAAAACAAACTAACCTCTATAAGAAGTCTGTAATATTAATCGAGTCGAATCGTTGATTATTATTGTGCTCTCGTATATATATAGATAATGCATAATAACTAAATAACTAATAGGGTAATCTATATGATAATTTTGTTAAGATGATTCCACGGTATGTTTTGAACTGAAATGTTTAGAGACTGCTCTTACTCTTCTTGCTCTTGCACCATATGATACATCTACCTCCACACTTTAACCTCTTGAGTGAACTCTCTTGTTTTCAAACGTTATTTTTTTGAGTAACTTATTTTCTCATTTTGCTCTTGGATTGTATTTAAGGACTCGTTCGTCCATAAAAAAAAATATATTTTTGTAATATGACCAAATTTTCATGACATTTGCCATGACATAATATCCATTGTAATAAATTTGTGGTTCATGACATTTGCCATGACATAATATCCATTATAACAAATTTGTGGATCGTGACATTTGCCATGACATAATATCCATTATTAGACCAAAGATTTTTTGCTATAAATAGAGGAGTTTCTCCTCATTTGAAAACACACCAATTCAAGAGCTTTTCACTCTTGGCTTTCTTTCTCCTCCTTTATTTCATTATAGAGTATTTTGTAAGAGAGTGAGTATTGGGAAACACTTGTATGAACCCTTTGTTTGGAGTGATCTTGTGAGGTTAATCTCTTGAGGTATTTGGGATTAATTAGAGTATTTACTCTAATTTTGTACTCTCTTTTATACTCATGTTGGTATAGTGAAATTGCTCCTCTCCGCTTGTGGACGTAGGTCACCTTGACCGAACTATGTTAAATTTGTGTCTTCTTTATATTCTTTAATTGTCGTTATTATCAACTTTCATTGTCTTTTGTTATTGTCATTATACCGTTGTTTGGCTAAATTCCGTACTACCCGGGTTCCCGATCCTAACAAATTGGTATCAGAGCCAGATCTAACCGGGTTAGTTTAAATAGCCAAAATGACTCTAACAAAGTCTTATATTGAGAAATTTGACCGAAGTGCAAACTTCGGAATGTGACAATTAAAGATGAAAGCTATCCTAATTCAGGATGGCTTAGATTTGGCACTGCAAGGAAAGGAGAAGATGCCGGATAAAATGACGGACGAGGAGTTTGCCGTCATAGACAAAAAGGCAAAAGCAGGTATTATTTTAAATCTTTCAAATGAGGTTTTGCGTGAAGTTGCAGCAGAAAGCTCAGCCAAAGGCATATGGAAAAAGCTTAAAACCCTATATATGAAAAGAACAGTAGAAAACAGGCTTTACCTAAAGCAAAAACTCTACACTTTTCGTATGGCTGAAGGTACCTCTATACTTACTCATCTTGATACTTTTGATTCTTTTCTTATGGATTTAAGTAACATAGATGCTGAAATCAAAGATGAGGATCAAGTTGTGTTATTGCTTGTTTCCTTACCCCAATCGTTTAAACATATAAGAGATACTGTGCTTTATGGAAAGGATAATATCTCTTATAAAGATATCAAATCTATTTTGAAATCAAAAGAAAAAATAAATAGAGATATTACTGGGAAAACTAGTGGGAACCAAGGGGAAGGCTTATTCATAAGAGGTAGATCCAATAAGAAAGATTCAAGTAGTGAGAAACCTAAATCAAGGTCAAAATCCAGATACAGAAATGTCATGTGCAAATATTGTCATAAGAAAGGTCACATTATTTCTGAATACTTTAAATTGAAAAACAAAGAAACGCATACAGAAAAGAAAAATGAGCACAAAAATATTGACACTGCCGAAGCAAGTGTAGCTACTGATGAGACTGAGGGAACTATTTTTTTAGCAACTAATAATAGTTTCAAATCTAACAATGAGTGAATTTTAGATTTGGGTTGTTCTTATCATATGTGTCACAGCCGGGATTTATTTACCACATATGAATCTATTGGAGGTGGAGTTATCTTGATGGGCAACAATGTTGCCTGCAAAGTTATTGAAAAAGGTACAGTCCGAATCAAAATACACGATAGTATGGTGAGAACTCTCACCGATGTTAGACATGTTCCTAACTTGAAGAAAAATCTCATCTCTTTGGGCACTCTAGAATCTCTTGGGTGCAAGTATACAGGTGAAGGTGGAGTTCTGAAAATTTCTTATGGTGCTCTTGTGATCATGAAAGCACGCAGATCTGGTACGTTGTATACTCTTTTGGGATCTACTGTTACAATTGCTGCGAGTTTCAATATCAGATAAATCAGATTCTGACATCACCAAATTGTGGCATATGTGATTGGGGCATATAAGTGAAAAAGGTCTTTCCATCCTCAGCAAAAGAGGTCTCTTATGTGGCTAAAGTACCAGAAATATGGAGTTTTATGAACATTGTGTGTCCAGAAAGCAGAAAAGAGTCAACTTCAAATCTCCAGCGATTCATAGAACAAAAGGTACTTTGGATTACATTCATCCAGATCTTTGGGGTCCTTCACGTACCCCCATCAAAAGGTGGTGCCAGGTATATGTTAACTTTCATTGATGATTATTCAAGGAAAGTTTGAGTTTATTTCCTGAAAAATAAAAGTAATGTTTACTTAAATTTCAAACAATGAAAATTTTTGATTGAGAAGCAAACAGGAAAACAGGTTAAGCGGCTTAGAACGGATAATGGCTTGAAATTTTGTAATGATGAATTCAACGAATTTTGCAAGAATGAAGGAATTGCTCGACATCGTACTGTGAGAATGACACCTCAGTAAAATGGTGTGGGCAGAAAGGATGAATAGAACTCTTTTGGAAAGGGCTCGTTGCATGATTTCAAATGCTGGGCTGACAAACGCCTTTTGGGCAGAAGCTATCTCTACAGCTTGTTATATTATCAACCGAGCTCCTTCTGCACCTTTGAACTTTAAGACTCCAGAGGAAGTATGGTCAGGTACTCCTGCTAGTTATTCTGATTTAAATATATTTGGTTGCCATGCATACATGCATGTAAATGCTGAAAAATTAGAGCCAAGGGATAAAAAGTGCATTTTTCTTGGGTATGCATCTGGGGTGAAAAGATACCGACTATGGTATCCTGATTCCATGGCACCAAAATTTATAATTAGCATAGAAGTAACCTTTAATGAATCCTCTATGTTACATTATAGAAAAGAGTCTTCTAGTTCTTGTGATACAGATAAAAGAAAGTGTACACAGAACCAGGTGGAGATTGAGATTGGCATTCCTTCTAAACCAAGCTCATCAACTTTGGAGCAAAATACAGTTGAAACTCCTGAAGTTGAGACAGAAGCTGAAATTCCTGAAGTTGAGACTCCTAAAGTTGAACCAGAAGAAGAGGAGTATTCTATAGCCAAACATAGACCAAGAAGAGAAGGTAAACAACCATTAAGGTTTGTAGATTATGTTGCATTTGCTTTTTCAGTTGCATAGAAAACTGAAAAAATTGGAGAACCATCAAAATATTCAGAAGCAGTTTCTGGTGTTGACTCAGCCAAGTGGCTAATTGTAATGAATGAAGAAATCTAGTCTCTCCACAAGAATGGTACTTGATCTTTTGTGAAGCCGCCATCAGAAAAAAGAATTGTTGGTTGCAAATGGGTCTTCAAGAAAAAGGATGGCATTCCAGTGGTTGAAGATGCGAGGTATAAGGCACGATTAGTTGCAAAGGGCTATAGTCAGGTACAAGGAGTTGATTTTAATGATATTTTCTCACATGTTGTTAAACATAACTCTATTCGTGTCTTGCTTAACTTCGTTGCCATGTATGATTTGGAATTAGAACAACTTAATGTTAAGACAGCTTTCTTACATGGTGAACTTGAGGAACAAATATACATGCATCAACCCGAAGGATTTGAAATTGAAGGAAAAGAAGATCATGTTTGCTTGTTGAATAAATCTTTGTACGGATTAAAGCAGTCTCCAAGACAATGGTATAAAAGGTTTGATTCCTTTATGTTGGGTCATGGTTATTCGAGGAGCATGTATGATAGTTGTCTTTACTTTCGGAAGTTAAATAATGGTTCATTTGTGTACCTATTATTATATGTTGATGACATGCTCATTGCTGCTAAGGATTTAACAGAAATTCACAACTTGAAAAGTCAGCTGAAAAGTGAATTTGAGATGAAAGATTTGTTAGCAGCAAAGAAAATCCTTGGCATGGAGATCAAAAGAGATCGAAAAGCCAA